AGACTCGAACCCACAACCTTTGGGTTATGAGTCCGACTCTCTAACCATTAGGCCATGACTTCCCCACCAGGTACAACTGTAAAACCATCAGTGCACAATTTTCCACACCACAATCTGTCAAGCACATCTTACCAGCAAACATACACTCGTTCACATCCTTCTCCACTCTCTGAGACCGAAGTCTCCAAACTCATCTTTTCTAATCATCCTACTACTTTTCCGCTTGATCCTATTCCAGCTCATCTCCTTCAAGCCATTTCTCCTGCAGTTGTACCTGCACTCACTCACATCATTAACACATCCCTTCACACCCACTACTTAAGAAACCCACCCTTAACCCATCTCTTTTAGAGAACTACAGACCGGTTACCCTTCTTCCTTTCATTGCAAAAACACTTGAACGAGCTGTGTTCAACGAAGTCTCTGCCTTTCTCACACAGAACAACATCCTCGACAGCAACCTGAGTCTTATCTCTCAGATAGGTCCTTCAAGGTATCTTGGAGAGGTGAGGTGTCCAAGTCGCAACATCTAACTACTGAGGTGCCTCAGGGCTCTGTTCTTGGACCACTTCTCTTCTCTGTCTACATGTCATCACTAGGTTCTGTCATTCAGAAACATGGCTTTTCATATCACTGCTATGCTGATGACACTCAACTCTACCTCTCATTCCATCCTGATGATCCATAGCTGCTCGCATCTCAGCTTGTCTAACAGACATTTCTTGCTGGATGAAGGACCATCACTTTCAACTCAACCGTGCCAAGACAGAACTGCTTGTGGTTACATCAAACCCATCGTTTCATCACAATTTCACCATCCAGTTAGGCACATCAACCATAACTCCTTCAAATACAGCCAGAAACCTTGGCAAAGGAGTATACTTTAAAGGCTTGTGCACTCAACTGTTTGTGAAATGGAGCTTTGCAGGGCTCGAAATTAACTTTTTTACTTGGTAGCACTGGTGCTCCCAACTTCAAAAAGTCAGGAGCACCAGCAAAAAGGCGGGCGCGCTGATGTTTGGTTCACTGTATTTTATTTTGATAAAGTACCAACTGTGCTGTCAAGTTAGCAATGCTGGAACTGATGTGTTTTGTGTGTGTGTGCGTGCCGGCACGATCACTTGAACTGTTTCCTTATACCAGCAGAATCAACTTTAAACACTTATTATCTTATTAATAATGCATCACCGTATAAAGGTCTGCTTTTATTTGTGTACATTCATAATGAAAACAAAACATTGTGCTTTTGTAAAATAAAGAAAACAAATAGGATGTCGCTTTCAGCCATTTGAGTTTCCTTTCTGTGAACAAATTAAGCCTGTCACAAAAATGAACTGAAACTCAGCATATATAGGCTGTTACGTGTCGCACTGTTTTTTTTTCCCTTGTTTATCTGTAAACTAAATCAAATATATTTCAAGAATTTATTCCTTGTATGTATATATGTACCGCAGATTATATATATTTAACATAATGTAATAATATTTAGTATTTTCACATCTAGGTGGAAAAAATTGTCATTTGTACTACTGTCTGTTCAAAATAAAGGAAAAGAAACCGAGCATAGTAGATTTTTTTTTTCCTGTTGTACCGAAATCGTATCGAACCGTGACCCCCGAACCGAGGTACGTACCGAACCGTGACATCTGTGTACCGTTCCACCCCTACTAAAAACACATCTCTTCCATCTTTATTTGACCCTCTAACTCTAGCACTCTCTATTCTAATTCTATTCTTATAAAAAAAAAAAATAAAGGAAAAGAAACCGAGCATAGTAGATTTTTTTTTTCCTGTTGTACCGAAATCGTATCGAACCGTGACCCCCGAACCGAGGTACGTACCGAACCGTGACATCTGTGTACCGTTCCACCCCTACTAAAAACACATCTCTTCCATCTTTATTTGACCCTCTAACTCTAGCACTCTCTATTCTAATTCTATTCTTATAAAAAAAAAACATGCCCCTTTTAGACTTCATTTGTAAATCGATTTGGATAAAAGCGTCTGCTAAATGACTAAATGTAAATGTAAATCGAAAAGAAACTGTCTCATTATGTAATCTGTATTAAAGAGTCATTTCTCTCTAAAGGCGCATCCATTGTACTGCGGAGATGGCGAGTCAGCATCGTCAACTTCATCTTTGCAGCTGACACTGACTCAGAAAACACTAGTTTATTAATAAACAATTAAAATATGTCCTTGCTATTTTTTCCCCCAATACAATTATAATCATTACTTTTACAGGTGCTTTGTGGCAAGCTTTATGCATGTGCTTGAGTGTGGAATAGATTATTAAAGGCCCCCAAGTATATATTTAAGTAATTAATATAAACGTGCGATTAGTTGACTAATGGGTTAAAATGGTCAACTAGAAAAATCTTTAGTCAGGGGCAGCTATTATATACATATATTTGGGTTATATACAGAAACCAAGCAGAGGGTCTGTTTGCGGGTCTAAAACCTTAGCTTGCAAGTTGAATTATTTTTAATTCAAGTGAAGCTGCATTTCAATGAGCGGTGTGTGTGCACCAGAATCAAAGTCCCATTTCTATTGGTCATTCTCGCTTGGTGTGATAGTTTGGCCACACCCATTTCGTGGCATTGGAGAATGCATTAGATATAACATGGGGCGCTTATGCTGCCTTCACATGCTGTTGGAAATGTTCTACTTCCCAATTCAGAGGCTGTAATTACAATGTTCTTGTGTTGAAGTGCTTTGTTGTTGGAAAGAACAGGAATCTCGTGAGTTCATTCTTGCCTAATTCTGGTGGAAATACGTACATTTTCATGACTAATGGCAAGAGAAATATAGAAGTTGTGGGAGAAATGAAAAAAACAACAACTTTACAATACTACATTTGTTTCACCCCTCTGCCATGTTTCAAGTTTATGGCAATCCCGACATGGGTATCATAATTATCTCAGAGTTTCACAGTTGTAAATACGACTTGGGAGGCCATTCATGTCCAATTTTTGACTAGGAAACTCGTGTTTATGATAATTCCAATAGCATGTGAAGGCAGCATTATGATGGCCATACTGTGTGAAGGCAGCATTGTGATGGCCATGTCTCTTTCATCCTAATATACATTTACCCACCTTTTATCAAACATATTTTTAGAAAAGAAATCAAACATTTAATTATTGCCTTATTTAAATTGTTTTAAGAAAATTCATGATGTAATTGTTACATGTTCTTTGCCTGTTTGGACTTTTGTTTCATTTCCTGTCTTGTGTGCCGTATTTTGTAGTTTTTCACCTCGATTTGCTCTTGATGTTTTGTGTTCCCCTTGTTAGCTTGTTACCCTGTATGTATTTAAGCCCTAATGTTTCATGTGTTCGTTGTGAGGTCTTGTCCATGTTTGGCTGTGTTTTGTTTCTTGTACTCCTTGTTCTCCTGATACCTTTGAGTTTATTTTTTGTACTTTTATCTTTGTTAATAAACCTTCTGCATTTTGATCTTGGCCTCCCTTGGCTTTGCACGCCTTCGTAGCAGTAATATAATCACCTGGTGATGTGCAATATAGCTAAAATTAGCATAAAGCTATAGGGATGCTATCGGTATCGGCCGATAATCACATTTTATGACTCGATTGGTACTCACTACACTTGGCCGATCTCACGAACCGATCGCAATTTGATGACGTCAACTTGTGACGATGTACATGATGTGTGGGGACATAAATGATTTGGTGCCGCAGTCATCGCTGGTGTAGAAATGCTATGACGTTTCGAGAAACAATGAAGAATTTGCTATTTGTCATGTATGATTTGCATGATGATATGATGAATGGATGGTTCATTTTTAACAGCAGATTCAGTGATGTTAGAGCTGATCTGCGCCTCACTGCACGCGTCTGCGGCACGTTACGGCTCCACGGGAACCGGAGTTGATCGCGGCCGCTCTAATGCTTGTGTTTATTACGTTTCTGAAGCGGCTCTCCGCTGCTTGGCTAAAAATAGTCTTTTGTGAGTTGTCACAGCGTG